AGGCCCTGAGTTCGATTCCTCAGCACCACATAAGCAAAAAGAAAGCCGGAAGTGGTGCTGTGGCTCAAGTGGTAGAGTGCTAGCCTTGAGCTGAAGAGCTGAGGGACAGCTCCCAGGCCCAGAGTTCAGGCCCTACAACCGGACCCAAAAAATAAAAAAATAAAAAAATTTAAAAAAATAAAAATCTTTTAGTACTTGTATCTTTGTTTTCTCCATGTTGTTGTTAGTATTGTTTGGCAGTAATGGGGCTTGTTCTCAGGGCCTCAAATATGTTATGCTAGACTACACCACTTGAGACACACACACACACACACACACACACACATGTCCTTTTTTGGTTCAGTTATTTTGGAGACCCTCATCAGACTAAGATTCTCTTACCTATGCCTTCTTGGTAGCTAGGACCACAGGTGAGCACCACCATGCCAAGCTTGTTAGTTGAGATGAGAATCTCACTAACTTTTTTCCCTCCTGCATAGTTAGGATTACAGATGTACACCAGCACAGCAGCTGGTTCTTTCCATATGTATTGCTCCTAATAAAAGTGTAGGTAATTTTATTTTTCTAAGTCTTAATTGTGAAGTTGAAAAAGATTTATGAATTTGTTTTGTGCCATCTGAAAATAATGACCAATAATATCATTTTTGTTCCCATCAATTTGGATCTAAGTCTAACTCTTGAAAATGTTGGTGCTAGGGCCAAGGTCAAAAAAAGTTGAGAAAATACTGACTTAAAAGGTTTTATGTTCCATGCAATGCTTATAATGTCAGAGAACACCTGTTGACAGCTCTAACATTGCTTGCTTAATCAATTAAAGGGGAAATATAAAAGTTAAAGCAAGCTGGGTGCCAGTGGCTCACACCTGTAAGCCACTCAGGAGGCTGAGATCACAGGCTTGTTGTTCAAAGCCAGACCAAACACAAAAGTCCTTGGGACTTATTTCTAATTAACCAGCAAAAGACTAGAAGTGGTGCTATGGCTCAAGTGGTAGATGGAAGACTCTACCTTGAGCAAAGAAGCTAAGGGGCAGAATCCAGGCCTGAATTAAAACTCCAGGACCTACACACACACACACACACACACACACACACACACACACACACACACACACACTAAGTTTCATTAAAACCCTCAAATTTAAAACTTACTATACTGAATATAGAGCTGTAGAACTGTTCTTTCATTTGTTTTCCTTTCTTTTTGGCACTACTGAGGATTAGAACTCAGAGCCTTTTACTTGTGAGGCAGGCACTCTACCACTTAGGCTATACCTCCAGCGCAGAGCTTCTTAAGAGAAAATGAAACAGGCCATGGTTCCAAAATGAAGTAACAAATGTTATATTCACAAACCTCTGAAGTCAAAGAGGATGGATGCAGGAGGAAATTATGTTTCTTTTTCATGACAGAAATAAAAGCAGAGAGCAGACATCCATGTGCAGCAGGAGAGGGCATCCACAAGACCCGTGGCTCTTCTTCCTTCACCCCACCAATGAGGACATGAGGCCCCCAAATACCGTCACATCACAGAAGAAAACTGTCCTTCTCCACATGCCTGTCCTAGTTTTCCTTCTTGATTTCAGCATGCTAAAGTCTCTGGCTTACACAATTTCTTTGAGGTTTACATAAGAAAATGAGTGGTTATATTTCTTTTCCAAGCTGCTATGAGAGCCAGCCTGTGGTATACAGGAATGGATGTAGTCATGGAGAAATCACAATGAAAGCCTGCAGGAAAGCAGACATTCCAGCCTGCAGATGCATTCAGCAATTTCCCTTCTGCTGCTTTTCTTACCTACCTTTCCTGCAATAAGTTAGGGCCAAATATAGTGAATAAATATATATTCACCAGTACAGTGTTGAAGACACTAAGACGCACAAAAACACACATACATACGTGCATGCGCACACACACGCATGCACACACATACACACACACACACACACACACACGCACATGCATATACATAGAACAGATTTTTGTATATCCAAAATGCATGTAGCACTCACCATAAACCCACACATTGCCTACAAATCAAATAACTGGAAGTGTCCTGTCCTCCCCGGCTTCCCTACAGGTCTCCCAACCCCAGCTATTGCTCCTGACCTACAGATCTCAACACCTACACAGCTCACAGCTAGCTGCCTTTGGTATTCTGTCAGCTGTTCCTTTCCACTTTCAAGCACTTGTATTATTTTCTTCTATGAAAGGACAGGAAAAGGCATGGAGAGCTATGCACAGCAGGACTGAACCTCACATCTCTTCCTTTTGTTGTAGCACAGCCCCTAATTAAGCTACCTCTTCTTTTTAATATTAAATGGTATTCAGCTTTCCAGGAGTAAGCCTGCAACCCTTCACATTCATTCTGCCTTCTGATGGGACATGAAATGTGTTGCCAGTTCTAGCTCTCAAGTCCAATTCCAGCAGCCTGGTCTCATTACAAAGTACATGCTGCCACCTACTGACCATGACAGCTCACAGGCCAGACTCATCCCAGAGCTATTGAATGCAACTATTCAACTATATCATGACGATTTTTTTTTTGACAGTCCTGGGCTTGAACTCAGGGCCTAAGCACCGTCCCTGAGCTTCTTTTGCTCAAGACTAGCACAATTCTCTTGAACCACAGTGCCACTTCCAGGTTTTTCTGTTTATGTGATACTGAGGAATTGAATCCAGGGCAAGTACTCTACCACTAAGCCACATTCCTAGCCCCTCATTGTGATTTTTTTGCCCTCAGTTTTAATGTATACTGACATGCCCAAATATGGCCCAGAACAGTGTATGTATGTGTGTGTAAATGAATAAACATCCAGATAGAGAAAATTTAAAACCTACAACTAGGGCAGTAAGAATGGGAAAGAAGCAGAGTAAAGACAACTTATAAAGATAAAATGATAGGACTGACTACATCTGATGTGTACGGTAGTTATCTCTGGAAATACATAACCGATTTTTATATTCCTCTTGTGGTTTTCAGACTTCCCAACATTTTCTACAATATATGTGTATTTCTTTTTAAATAGTAAGTATAAGGATTTTCTAATTTTTTTAAAGATCTCAAAGAATTATCAAAAAAGAAAACTGTCTGGTCAACTATCTCAACTGAGAATGCTCAATGACAACCAGGATAAAACAAGGGGACTGGAACCAGAAACTCAACTTGCTATGACTAGAAAAGAAGAACAAGCTAAAAGTTTTCATAAGGGAGATGGAACATGACACGGCCTCTTAAACTTCAGTACAACATAACCCCAGAGGCAGAGCACAAAGAAAAGGGACAATGATTTTATAAAACAACTCCTGAAGGCTTTGTTACTCAGGTTGGACACACGGGAGCATGACAGGGTAGGGGTGGAGGTAAGAAATTAGGGAGATGTCACCTCCTCTTACCCATCAGCACAAATACTTTGCTCCTTATAAGACTGAGAGAAGATGGCTGGGAATGTGGCTTAGTGGTAGAGTACCTGCCTAGCATGCATGAAGCCCTAGGTTTGATTCCTCAGTACCACACAGTGTGGCTCAAGTGGTAGAGTGCTAGCCTTGAGCAAAAGAAGCCCAGGGAACATGCCCAGGCCCTGTGTTCCAGGACTAGCGAAAAAAGAAAGAAAGAAAGGAAGGAAAGAAAGAAAGAGAGAGAGAGAGAAAGAAAGAAAGGAAGGAAGGAAGAAAGAAAGAAAGAAGAAAGGGAGGGAGGGAGGAAGGAAGGAAGAAAGGAAGGAAGGGAGGGAGGGAGGGAGGGGGAGGAAGGAAAGAAGAGAGGGAGGGAGGGAGGGAAGGAAAGGAAGAAGAAGAAGAAGACAAAATAAAAAAGAAGAAGAAGAAGAGGAGGAGGAGGAAGAGGAGGAGGGGAAGGAGTGGAGGAGGGGGGGAGGAGGAGGAGGACGACGACGACGACGACAAAATAAAAAAAAATTAACAGTAAGGAATAGAAAGATATTCCTTCACAGGCCAAAAGGGTGGGAGCTATAGAATGGGCCAAAATGCATGCAGACAGTGCTAAGACTAATGAAGTCAAAAGAAATGAATAAGAGCAAGAGGTAAATCAATCACTCACCAGGGAAAAGATGCAGAGAGGCAGGATGAAACCCACAGGTCTCCCTCCCTCCTGAACATAAAATACTACCTGCTAACAGAAACCACAAGGTAGAATCCTGAACTGGAAAGATAACAGGATGGAGATTGGCTAAGACACCAAAAGTTCTTGGTGGTTAACTTAAAGTCAGTCTAGCTAGGTCAGAAGGATCAGTTACGTGGCCAAATACAAGTCTAAATTGTGCTGTAAAGTTAGTTTTTATGGTAGATATGATTGAGTTTAAATTCATAGCTTTGAGTAAAACAAATTTACACTTTAAAATGTGAGTGGGCTCCCTTCAATCCATTCAAGGCTTTAAAAGAAAAGATTGAGATATCTCTCTCTCTCTCTCTTTCTCTCTCTCTCTCTCTCTCTCTCTCTCTCTCTCACACACACACACACACACACGCGCGCGCGCAGAGAGAATAAGATATCTTGGTCTCACTCAAATCTGAAACATAAAAACCTTACTTGAGAATCCAGCCTGCCAGCTCTCCCAAGAGACTTCCCAGCTTCCACAATCCCAGGAACCAATTCTTTACAAAGCAGTTCTATCCCTTCCTCTCCAGCAAAAACTACTATCTGCTAAAAGAAACCAAAAGGCAGAATCCTGAACAGGATGGATAAACAGAATGGAGACTGGCTAAGGCAGGTAACAGTAAGACACCAAAAGTTCTCAGATGAGTGGCATGATAGTATATGTAGCAAGGATTGTTTTGGAATCTATGATGAGTCTAACATTAACTACATCAGAGAATACTAGAGTCAGAACACACTGAGAAGTCTCAGCCAAAAAATTCTGCAGACAAATGCAAGGAGAAAAAAAGGAGGCTATCCACACAATAATAATACAGCAGGTGAAAAGGCTTAAATTTTCAAGATCTTTAAGTAAAGGTTCTATAGGGATATTGTTCAATAGATTTAACTTACCATATTTGTCCCGCAAGCCAACAGTACATCTAAAGACTCCACCAAAGGCAACATCTTCACCAAATATTACTGAAAAACAATGTTTCAAGAATATATTTTATGTGATATTCTCTAAGTAATACTAACAATATGAAAAAAGTAATTTACTATTTACATTTGAAATCCCAAAACAGAAATAAAGGCCTTATAAAGTAGTATATGCCTGTAATCCTAGTCACTCAGGTGGCAGAGATCTGAGTATCATTGTTCAAAGTCAGCCTGGGCAAATTTATCTCCAGTGAACCAAAAAAGCCAGAAGAGGAGGTATGGCTCAAGTGGTAGAGTACCAGCCCTGACTGAAAAAGCTAAGGGACAGTGCCATGCCCAGGCCCTGAGTTCAAGCCCCATTACTAGCACAAAAAGAAAGGAGAAGGGAATGGGGCAAACTCTTTCACACAAAAGTGTATCAGGCATAGTAGAAAAGAATGTGGGAACAGAAATTAAGAGGAATTCTATACAAAATCAAGGAAAACAAATCCTAAAGTACTGACCACCAAACTCTAGCTCCACAAACACACTTGATAGTGTTGTGTACCCCTTGGAAAATAACACTTTTTAAATTTTTATTCCTCTGGGTCGGCCATTCTCAGACAGCATTCAAACAAAATCAAGGCCCAGTCATCCTTTAGTCTAGCCCTTATATCCCCCCACACACTCACCCTAAAAGCTTACACTTTCACCTTCAAGGTGAGGATTCTCAAGAGAAAGTATAGTCACACACACACACACACACACACACACACTTTGTATACCCAAGTAGGTCTATATACAAAAAAGTAACAGATTTTACAAAACAGAGTAAAATATTCTTATATCAGTCATTTATAAGATGAAGATTAAGTTGCCTCTATTAACTATTCAGAAATACTAAAATTGAGGGCTGGGAAGGTGGCTCAGTGGTAGAGCGTTTGCCTTGCATGCATGAGGCACTGGGTTTGATTCCTCAGCACCACATAAGCAAAAAAGAAAAAAGCCGGAAGTGGCGCTGTGGCTCAAGTGGTAGAGCGCTAGCCTTGAGCTGAAGAGCTGAGGGACAGCACCCCGGCCCAGAGTTCAGGCCCCACAACTGGACCTAAAAAAAAAAAAAAAGAGTCTCAGAAACACTAAAATTGATAGGGGCACAAAAAGTCTGACAAGTTGCATGACAATGTAAAGAAGTGGGAAAAAAAAAAAAAACGGTTGAAAGTATAGTAGCTCATGTCCATCATCCCAGCTACTTGGAAGGCAGAGAGATGGAGGATCACAGTGCAATACAGGCGAAACTTAAGAGACTCTCATCTCAATTAATACAGCTGGCCTCAGAGAGTACCGCCATCATTCCCCGTAGGCAGGAGGTGTAAATACAAGGTTCAAGGTTCAGGCCAGGCTTTCAAATAATGGGAGCCACTACAAAACAAGGAGAGTGAAAAGGGCCTGGGGCATGGCTCAGCTTAGCAAGGACAAGGCCCTGCATTCAAACCCCTATATTCCCCCCAAAAATCAAAACTGTTATAGATAAAGATCTATTTTTTTAAAAAAACATCTAATACTTTGTTTTCCTCTATGCTAGAAAAATCGAAATGCAGTCTTGACATTAATACATTAACTGTAAAAGTTAATGTAGCCATATACTGATGGCTCAAACCCATAATTTTAGGTGCTCAGGAGGCTGAGATATGAAGATCGAGGTTCAAAGCCAATTTGGGTAGACAAATCCAAGAGAATTTCCTCTCTGACTAACTAGCAAAAAGCCAGATGTGAAAGTATGGCTCATGCGGTAAGAGCACCAGCCTTGAATGAAAAGGCCAAGCAAGAGTGAGAGGCCCAGAGTTCATGCCCTAGGACAGGTCCAAAAGAAACATAATACAACGTGTTTTTCAGTTGGTGGTAGTGGTGGTGGTGGTGGTATGGTGGTGGTGGTGGTGGTGGTGGTGGTGGTGTTTGCTTTTGCTTTGGGTTTTTTTTTTTTCTTCTGGGAGGCCATAGAAAGGAAGGGAGGAAGGGTGAACAATGCAATCATGATATTCAGTATACACCATTCAGAAAAAGACCTATGTAAATTGTAGGCAGGGATGGGGGGGAGTGGAACTGAGAGAAAGGAAAAGAAGAGGTAACACTGTCCAAAAGAAAAAAAAAGAAAGAAATTTACAGTCTGGTGCCAGTGGCGTGTGCCTATAATCCTACCTACTCCGGAGGCTCGGATCTGAGGATCGCAGTTCGAAACCAGCCTGGACAGAAAAGTCCATGAGATTCTTCAATAAACTACCCAGAGAAAGAAATGGCACTGTGGCTCAAGCGGTAGAGTGCTAGCCTTGAGCACAAAGAGGCAGTCCCTGAGACAGTGCGTAGGCCCTGAGTTCAAGCCCCAGGACCAGCCCAAAAAAAAAAAAGTGTTAAAAAAAGAAACATACTCATTATCTGACTTATGAAATGGTAGCCCCACATTAATAGATACATGCATGAGCACTAATTAATAATGGGTAGATTAAAAATGTGTGAATAGTATAACCTTAATCATTTGATGATGTCTTTTAAAAAATGAAGCAGATAGAAAGTAAACTAATGAGCTCAGGGAAATGTCACAACCACATCTTCTGAAATGAACACACTAACACAATCAACCACAAATGGAGTTTACCTGCAGTAGGATCTGTGGCCAGGGAGTTATCCAAGGCGCTCGTGACTGCCTGAAAAAGATTCATTTTCTGAGTTTGTCCTGGGGGGGGGACAAAACAAAAACAAGATATATAATGTCATACCTGGTAGAAAAGTAAAAATAACCACTTTGTCAATAACTTGATTAAAATCAAAGTGCAAAGATAGGCGCAGAGGAACACGACTCAGTGCTACAGCTCAGCGGTAGAAAGCTTGCCGAGCAGGTGTGAGGCCCTGCACAGGGAGAAAGGGAAGGAATACATCACAGGAATTACTAGATTATTTACACTGAGGCTGGCTCTCTGGAGGATTCGAAAACAGTACAGTTTTCCAGACCTTGCTTAAAAGGCAAAACATACACTTTTTCTTTAAGCTGGTACTGGGATTTGAACACTGGACCTGGCACTTGCTCAGTTTGCTTTGTCAGCTGGCACTCTACCACCTGAGCCATTCTTCCAGCCCAACTTTTTGCTGTGTAATTTGGTAATGGGAGTTTCGTGGACTTCTCTGCACAGGCTGGCCTTGAATTATGATCCTTTGGATCTCAGCCTCCTGAACAGCTAAGGAAATAGTAGCACACCCTACACAAGGCCACTCATGCCCAGATAAAACATACAAATTAAGCAAATTACAGACACCTTTGTTCTTAGAAGGGGAATATAATCAAATAACTAAATGTGCATAGACAATAAAAATGATGGAAAGTTCTAAAAGGTATGAGTAAGAGCTCCCAGGGGTCTGGGAGTGCATTCTAGACCAGTGTCATTTACCAAACGTGAGCTTGTACATAAAACAGTGAGCACAAACAAAGAGACGAACTTTAGTGCTCAAAAATGCTCATGTTTGGACACCAGAATCCCACACTTAAACATGTCAGTCCTTCCTGATATCTTCCTGCTTAAGTAGAATCTCTGGAAGCCAACTCCTGTCTTCCTAAAGAAATTATGTGTGTGTGTGTGTATAATACAAATACTATATATAAATTATATATAATTTAAATTATAATAACAATTATGATATAATATACAGCTTCATACATATATATAGATAGATATATATATAGATATATTATATGAAGTACCTTGAGCAGTGTCTGACACAGTGAGTACAATATAGGTTACATTCTGGGTCTTGCCCATATCCTTCCTCTTAGCATTAGCATTATTTACAGTATATGGCACAGTAAGGCTTAAAAGAGTTCCAAAGTTTTCGCTGGGAAACATCTTGATGATGGACTTTTGATTGTAGCCTCAGTGCTGCCCGCTACCCACAATCATTCTAGAACTTTCGGGAGACTCCTCTCCAAAAGCACTGTTTAGAGCACAGACAGACATGTGATCCAGAGAGCCCACACCGCCTTACTGAAGTCACCCTGGGCTGCTGCTCGCTGGCCACTGTCCTGTCCACTGCCATGCTCTTCAGTAACCTACTGGGTCCCCAAAGTCGAGGTCTAGGGCCAGGCACCAATTCCTCACGCCTGTAATCCCAGCTACTCAGGAGGCTGAGATCTGAGAATCACAGTTTGAAGTCAACCAGGGAAGTAAAGTCTGGGAGACTCTTATCTCCAATGAACCAACAAAGAACAAGAAGTGGAGGTGTGACTCAAGTGGCAGACCACCAGCCTTCAGGGGAAAAGTAAGGTAAAGCAAGAGCACAAGACCCTGAGTTCAAGCCTTAATACCTGCACGCACACACGCACGCACAAAGTCAAGGTCTAATTCCTAGTCTGCATTCCAACATCTACAGCTTCTCCTTCAACTCTCTGACCACGAGACACTGGTCTGTCATCCTTCCCCCAGGAACTACCTTCTCAGTCCTCTCCTCTAATCCCAGGCCCACACAGCACAGCGGCCCTCTCTTTCTCCTTCCATTAACCTCCACCAACCAGGCTTTCTGATATTCTGCCCACTAGGCCTAAGTGTTTCTCTGAGCCTTTGAATAGTGCTGACGGCCCAACTTTGGCAATCACCTACCAGAAATGCACCTGCTTCCCTCAGTGCCCAGAACAATACCCTGCTTGTAGTCTCATTTCTGGTGGAGATAAGAATGTATTCAGGAAGGCACTATGTCAAAGCATGTATCATCACACCCTAGCTCCATGGCTACAGAGTTAGTTTTCCTAGACTAGGGCTATATAACTTCATAGATTCTTTCCTTGAATACCTCTCCATTCTGCAAATTCTATTCTTAAATCATTTACTGCTGCCTGATTTCAGAAAATAATGGTTGAGGATAAACTGTTTTCTCACCTTTTTCATATATTTCATTAAAGAATATATTTATTGATTTGTCTGTTATGGATTTTCAGAGGTAAGAATCTTGGAGGCTGGTGGAAATTCTCGGGTGGTAGATTGTCTGCTTAGTAAGCACAAGGTCCTGAATTCAAAGCCTACTACCCCTCCCCCCACCAAAAAAAAACTGAGTTGGGGGGCTTGTCTCAAGTATAGAATGCTTGTGTAGCAAACATAAGGTCCTGACTCCAAACCCCAGTACTACAAAAATAGTAAGTAAAAACGGAATAAACATCTATACTGCTGGGCACAGACACCATCTCAATGAACAGAGACTGAGTACGGTGGTGAACGCCTGCCATCCACTCTCAGCCACGATAGAAAGTCTTATATAGGTGGATCATGGTGCAGGCACACGGCTAAACCTGAATATCAGGATGCTATCTTAAAAGTAATTAGTGCAAACCAGCTGGAGGCATGGATCCACCCAATGTTCATGCCTGGCATGCGAAAGGCCTAAGTTCAAAACCCAATATCATGAGAACACATCATCATTTAACTCAGGAAAAATATAAATGCCTAAACATCAAAGCTGGCATTCATTTCAAGTCTGCTGTGCTTTTGAATTAATACTGAATGCCTCCCAGACAGTTGCTTCGATACAGTTAATATTTTTTTCTTAGTATACAAAATTGTTAATTGACAAGAGAAAGGAATGCGAAGGATTTTTTTTAATCTACCAATGTCAGGGGGGAGCTGGGAGGACGGGGGATGCTTCAGCACCAGTCTAGTGGACTCAGAGTTGAACGGATGGAGAAAAATCAGGTCTGTGTTCAGATCATGAAGGTCTCTCCCACCGGAAAAAATCAGGTCTGTGTTCAGATCATGAAGGTCTCCCACTGGAGAAAATCAGGTCTGTGTTCACATCATGAAGGTCTCTCCCACCGGAGAAAATCAGGTCTGTGTTCAGATCATGAAGGTCTCTCCCACTGGAGAAAATCAGGTCTGTGTCAGATCATAAAGGTCTCTCCCACTGGAGAAAATCAGGTCTGTGTTCAGATCATAAAGGTCTCTCCCACTGGAGAAAATCAGGTCTGTGTTCAGATCATAAAGGTCTCTCCCACTGGAGAAAATCAGGTCTGTGTTCAGATCATAAAGGTCTCTCCCACTGGAGAAAATCAGGTCTGTGTTCAGATCATGAAGGTCTCTCCCACTGGAGAAAATCAGGTCTGTGTTCAGATCATGAAGGTCTCTCCCACCAGCTTCAGCTTTAGCGGTCAGTCCTCCGGTGCACTGCCTGCTTTGTGACCTAGGCCTGTGAACTACGACACTTCCTCCTCCTGGTCCCAACAGAAACCCTGGCATTTCACTCAGGACCTGACACAGGCTGGACTGCAGTGTCTACTCACTAGAACACCATGAACACATGACATCATTGCCATCAATCACACTGCCACTGGGAAGATGTCTCAACAACTAGCTATGTTCCCCAACAAAACGTTTTTTTCCCACATCTCCAGACTCCCACATCTCCTAGACTGTCCAGACTCCCAAGACTTGCAATAGATGTCCCTTCATCCATCCCACCTCCCCTCAAGGGCTATCCCAATGACTGCCCCCTCACCACACCACACGAGCAACCAATGCTTTGCTCAGCTTTCCAGATGTGCACCAGCAGCAGGCAGGGGTCCCACAGACTCCTGGGCCCTAAGCAACCATGTGCTCTCTCTGCTCAGTTTCCCTATTGGCCCTGGAAGCTGTGAATGGTTCCTGGTGTGTTCTGTAGAAACACCACACCAGGGATGAAGGAACACTATAATGGGTGTAAAGAAATTCTTCTTGGTGCCAGTGGCTCACGCCTGTAATCCCAGCTACTCAGGAGACTGAGATCTGAGGATTGTGGTTCAAAACCATCCCAGGCAGCAAAGCTGGTACAACTCTTATCTCCAATTAACCACCCAAAAACCAGAAGTGGAGCTGTGGCTCAAAATGATAGAGTGTTGCCTTGAGCAAAAGAGCTCAGGGACAGCACCAAAGCCCTACGTTCAAGCCCCATGATGCACAAAAAAAAAAAAAAAAGAAAAGAAAAAAAGCTTCTTCTTGCAGGCAGAAGACCAGAGCTGTGACTTCCTGGCCACCCCCTAGGGGAGGTATATTTAAAATAATACATCTTATTACATAGATGGGTATAAAGAAAAGGGATGTATAGTATAAACTGACCATATGACCAGTGTAAACTGGTCATATGCACTATGACACCCATTAAACCATTCATGTTTTCAACTGAGAAACCCAGCCCTTGGTATTCTATCCTGAAGAAATCATCTCAGGCCTCCCACTGGTAGTTCACAGCTGTAATCCTAGCTGCTCAGAAGGTTTAAATCTGAGAACCGTGATTCAAAGCCAGCCTGGGTAAGAAAGTAAAATTTTTATCTCCAATTAATCACCAAAAAGACAGGCATAGAGCTATGGCTCAAATGGTAGAGTGCTAGCCTTGAGTAAAAAAAGCAAAAGGACAGTGCCCAGGCCTGAAGTGAGTTCAAATCCAGTACTATACACTCTGTGCCTTTCCTATGGCTTCTCTTCCTGCCACCTGCATGACTCACCTTGGAGAAGCAACAGCAAGGCCGACACAAGACACAAGCTCGGGGCTAGGCTCAAATAGGAAACCTGGACTCCTTCCCACCTCTAGGAAGAACCTGTTCTGTGTCCTTGGGAAAAATCAATTCCGGACACTCAGTCCTTCGGTCCTTCACTTACCTTCCAGCTGAAAAATAAACGAGTGACTACAGTGAACGAGGGGACTCTTTTTTTTTTAAATGCCAC